CTGGGCCCACTCGGTAGGACATCATCATAATGTGCACAATGTGACCAAGGGGTTGATCACGGGATGATGTGTTATGGAACGAGTAAAGAGACTTGCCGGTAATGAGATTGAACAAGGTATCAGGATACCGACGATCGAATCTCGGGCAAGTACTATACCGCTAGACAAAGGGAATTGTATACGGGATCGATTGAGACCTTGACATCGTGGTTCATCCGATGAGATCATCGTGGAACATGTGGGAGCCACAATGGGTATCCAGATCCCGCTGTTGGTTATTGGCCGGAGAGTTGTCTCGGTCATGTCTGCATGGTTCCCGAACCCGTAGGGTCTACACACTTAAGGTTCGATGACGCTAGGGTTATAAAGGAAGTTTGTATGTGGTTACCGAATGTTGTTCGGAGTCCCGGATGAGATCCTGGACGTCACGAGGAGTTCCGGAATGGTCCGGAGGTAAAGATTTATATATGGGAAGTCTTATTTTGGTCGCCGGAAAAGTTTCGCACTTTATCGGTATTGTACCGGGAGTGCCGAAAGGGGTCCGGGGGTCCACCGGGGGGGTCCACCTGCCCCGGGGGGCCACATGGGCTGTAGGGGGTGCGCCTTGGCCTATATGGGCCAAGGGCACCAGCCCCAAGAGGCCCATGTGCCAAGATATAAGAAAAGGGGAGATTCCTCAAGGGGGAAGGCACCTCCGAGGTGCCTTGGGCAGGATGGACTCCTCCCCCCCCCCTTGGCCGCACCCCTTTCTTGGAGGAAGGGGCAAAGGCTGCGCCTTCCCCCTATCCCTTGCCCCTATATAAAGGGAGGGGAGGGAGGGGTGGCCGCACCTGAAGCCCTGGCGCCTCCCTCCCTCCCGTGACACCTCCTCCTCTCCCGCAGGTGCTTGGCGAAGCCCTGCAGGATTGCCACGCTCCTCCACCACCAGCACGCCGTTGTGCTGCTGCTGGATGGAGTCTTCCTCAACCTCTCCCTCTCTCCTTGCTGGATCAAGGCATGGGAGACGTCACCGGGCTGTACGTGTGTTGAACGCGGAGGTGCCGTCGGTTCGGCACTAGGATCTCCGGTGATTTGGATCACGACGAGTACGACTCCTTCAACCCCGTTCTCTTGAACGCTTCCGCTTAGCGATCTACAAGGGTATGTAGATGCACTCTCCTTCCCCTCGTTGCTGGTTTCTCCATAGATAGATCTTGGTGACACGTAGGAAAATTTTGAGTTTCTGCTACGTTCCCCAACATTAGGATCCACCGATATGGATCTTGGTCCCACCGAGATGGCCTTGCCAGCTCTCTGTTGCTTTTTGCAATTGTTTCGGTCCCACCGAGATGGCTTGGCTAACTCTCTGTTGCCTTATTGCTTCAGTTTGGTCCCGCCGAGATGATGCAATTGGTGCCACCGAGACTAGGTTTGCCCTAAGCCCTTGCACATCGGTCCCTCCGAGTTTTTCCCGTCGGTCCCACCGAGATTCCTAACGTTCATATTATTACACAGGTTGGTGCCTGATGTGTACTACACAACCTTCTTCTTGTAGACGTTGTTGGGCCTGCAAGTGCACAGGTTTGTAGGACAGTAGCAAATTTCCCTCAAGTGGATGACCTAAGGTTTATCAATCCGTGGGAGGCATAGGATGAAGATGGTCTCTCTCAAACAACCCTGCAACCAAATAACAAAGAGTCTCTTGTGTCCCCAACACACCCAATACAATGGTAAATTGTATAGGTGCACTAGTTCGGCGAAGAGATGGTGATACAAGTGCAATATGGATAGTAGATATAGGTTTTTTGTAATCTGAAAATATAAAAACAGCAAGGTAACAAATGGTAAAAGTGAGCGTAAACAGTATTGCAATGATAGGGTACGAAACCACCTCAAAGTTATTCTTTCGGATCGATCTATTCAAGAGTTCGTACTAGAATAACACCTTAAGACATAAATCAACCAAAACCCTAATGTCACCTAGATACTCCATTGTCACCTCAAGCATCCGTGGGCATGATTATACGATATGCATCACACAATCTCATATTCATCTATTCAACCAACACAAAAGTACTTCAAAGAGTGCCCCAAAGTTTCTACCAGAGAGTCAAGATGAAAACGTGTGCCAACCCCTATGCATAGGTTCATGGGCGGAACCCGCAAGTTGACCATCGAAACATGCATCAAGTGGCATGTGATATCCCATTGTCACCACAGATAAACACGGCAAGACATACATCAAGTGTTCTTAAATTAAAGACTCAATCCAGTAAGATAACTTCAAGAGGGAAACTCAATTCATCACAAGAGAGTAGAGGGGAGAGAAACATCATAAGATCCAACTATAATAGCAAAGCTCGTGATACATCAAGATCGTGCCATAGAGAGAACACGAGAGAGAGAGAGAGAGATCAAACACATAGCTACTGGTACATACCCTCAGCCCCTAGGGTGAACTACTCCCTCCTCGTCGTGGATAGCACCGGGATGATGAAGATGGCCACCGGTGATGGGTTCCCCCTCCGGCAGGGTCCCATAATGGGCTCCCAAGAGGTTTTTGGTGGCTACAGAGGCTTGCGGCGGTGGAACTCCCGATCTATCTTCTTTTTCGATGTTTTTAGGGTACGTAGGCTTATATGGGCGAAAGAAGTTGCTCGAGGGAGCCTCGAGGGGCCCACGAGAGGGTAGGGCGCGCCCAGGGGGTGGGCGCGCCCCCTGTCTCGTGGCTTGCTCGATGCTTCCCTGGCTTGCACTCCAAGTCTCCTGGATCATAATCTTTCCAAAAATCACGCTGCCGAAGGTTTCATTCCGTTTGGACTCCGTTTGATATTCCTTTTCTTCGAAATACTGAAACAAGCAATAAAACAGCAATACGGGTTGGGCCTCCGGTTAGTAGGTTAGTCCCAAAAATGATATAATTGTGTAAAATAAAGCCCATAAACATCCAAAAAGGGGTAATATAATAGCATGGAACAATAAAAAATTATAGATACGTTGGAGATGTATCAGTGCCACCAAGATTTCTGGTCGGTGCCACCGAGTTGGGTCAAAAGTGTGTAACTGTTGGATTTTATGTTGAGACTATATATACCCCTCCACCCCTTCTTCCTCGTAGAGGAGAGCCACAAGAACGTGCCTACACTTCCACCATTCATTTTCTGAGAGAGAACCACCTACTCATGCATTGAGATCAAGAGATTTCATTCCTACCATTTGATTCTTGATTTCTAGCCTTCTCCAAGTTGCTTTCCACTCAAATCCTTCTTCCACCATACACAAAACTGAGAGAAAGAGTTGAGTGTTGGAGAGTCTATCATTTGAAACACAAGAGCAAGGAGTTCATCATCAATACATCATCTATTATCTTTTGGAGAGTGGTGTCTCCTAGATTGGTTAGGTGTCGCTTGGGAGCCTCCGACATGATGTGGAGTTGAAGCAAGAAGTTTGTAAGGGCAAGGAGATCGCCTACTTCGTGAAGATCTGTCCGAGTGAGGCAAGTCCTTCGTGGGCGATGGTCACGGCGGGATATACAAGGTTGCTTCTTCATGGGTGAAGCGCAACCGTTACCCTTCGTGGTTTGAAGTCTCCATCAAGGTGGATGTACGATAGCACCACGTATCAGAACCACGCCAAAAATCTTCGTGCCCCCATTGCGTTTGCTTTCTGCAAACCCTTCCATTTACTTACATGTGCTATGTCTTATATTCCGCTGCTATACTCTTAGACTTGCATGTGTAAGGTGTTGCTTGACTCGTCATAATTGCTAAAATCCGTGTACAATTAAAAATGGGAAAATGTTAGGTTTTATTTGATCAAGTAATCTAATCACCCCCTCTAAACATACTTTCGATCCTACACCTGTCTCTTTGTTGCGTTGTTTTGGGTGGCCGTGTTATGGAGGCGGAGCATAGAGGTAGGTAGCGGAGATCCTGCATAACGGTGTGGAGTTGCGGAGGTGGTGTGTGGCAACAATGTCAGTGATGTTGTCCGACCGGAGCTAGTGGCGACAAACTATGCCAATGACGGCGCAATGTTGGCTCGTGGTTTATTGTTTGGGGGCAGGTGGCTACGCACATATTTAACAAAGAAGTACACTTGCGATAGAGGCGGAAGATCGACAGTGAGTTCTCAATATGAGATTTTGTCGGTACCCTTCTCTATCGTCATCTGATCTACGACCCGCGTCTCATAAGTGTGTCCACAGATGTTGTTGACTCCAAAGACGACTCTTGGTCACTTGCTTGGCGTGTGCATGGTTTTCAGTCTGCGTGGTTGTGTCCATGTTCAGATTGTGTGCAATTGCATCATTATTGTTTGGTCAGCAGCTGCTCCTCATAGGCATAGTTTCGCTATTTTACGACTTTTGCTTTGCCGGCGTGACCATGTAAGTTTGTGTTGATTGTGTGCATTCTAGTCATGCAGAGGTTAGATGTGTGCACATTGTAGTGTTTGTAACATTGATGCTTGTTATGAGCCAATAAAACACCTTTTATAAATGGCGTGAGGGTGGGGGAGGGCGGCGGCGGAAAATGGAAGTTTAAGCCATGAAAATGTGTAACGACGGGCGAATTATTGTTGAAGTACGTATAAGTGTTTTGTGCCGTTGATGCCCATGACAGGTGAAGCTCTTGGCGAACGGCGATGCTAGACCAACGAAGGGTTGCGTATACGCTGACTTGTAAGATTAGGATTAGAAGTGGGGGTGAAGGGCCCCACCCCAGTGAAAGTGACGGGGCGATTAGGATTAGGATTTGGCAAGTTACCTAACCCATCGTAGGTGTTTACCTAGGTTTAGCATTTTCGCTTGGCGAATGACTTGCCATTTAAACATAACAAATCAGCGAGTACAAGAAGAACTGAAGCATCTGAATCAGAACAAAACGGGCTACATCAGCTTGTTCGATTGATGATTATTCCCGACATAAATGATTACCTTTGTGAGACATACTCGATCACTTCATCTACTCAAATAAAACGGCCCCGTTAAAGGGGGGTGCTCACACCGAAGAATACTACTGCTACATTGCCTCCTCTGCTACGCCCATCTTGATTTCTGTTGCCTCTTTTCTTGCCTTGATTCTCTTGTCCTGGAGGAACTCTGTCAGCACCCGTAGCGCAACGTCGGCGTCTTCGCTCCGCAGCAGCATCTCAGACACCTCGGCCGGCGTCACCTCCACCGCCGCAAGCAGTTCCTGTATCTGTGGGAACAGAGCATGGTCGTCCACGAGGTGATAATTCCTGGCCAACGTCTTGAACGCCTCCCAGCAGCAGTGGCCCATGTAGATGTGCATGTCCATGCGCCCCGGCCGCAGCAGCGCCGGGTCGAGGCGGTCCTTGTAGTTGGTGGTGAAGATGATGATGCGCTCCTCGCCGCTCGTCGACCACAGCCCGTCGATGAAGTTGAGCAGCCCGGACAGCGTTATGGTCTGCTGTTGGCGCGGTCCCGGGTGGTGGGCTTTGTCCTCCGGGACGTCGTCGTCTGATGAACTGCCGTCGTCGGCCTGCACCGGCATCGTGCGGTCCTCCCTCGACTTGGCGTCGAAGCAGCAGTCGATGTCCTCGATGACGAGGATGGATTTGTTGGGCATGGCGATAAGCAGCCTCTGAAGCGCCGAGTTGAGGCGCACCTCGGAGAGATCGAGGTCGTAGAGGTTGAACCGGAGGTAGTTGGCCATGGCAGCGACCAGGCTGGACTTGTGGGCCGAAGAGCAGATACCCGCGCTTCCAAGCCTTGCCGATCCGCCGGTAGTACTCCTTCCGCTTCAAGAAACGGTCGAGGTCGTCGGTGACGGCCTGCTTGAGTGCCGGATCCATGGCGAGAGTGTCGAACGTGGCCGGGTGGTGGTGGTTGATGCCGTGCCACGACCGACCCTCGTTCATGAAGATCTTGAGCGCGCGATCCCGCCGCTGCAGCTGCTCCGCCGTGGACATGATGAACGGCACGTACCGCTCAAGCGCCGCCTCCGTGTGCTCGGCGTCAAAGCTGAGCTCGAGGGTCTCGCGTGGTGGGGCGCGATGGCCCTTTCCCTTCTTGCCTTCGTCGCCGCCGGTCTCGATGGACGTCCATTTGAACTCGACGCCGTCGAAGGTGTCGGTGGTGGAGCCCCCATCGTCCATGCACAGGAGTGTGCTCCAGCTGCTGCTCCCGTCGGGCTCCTTGTACCGGGTGCGCGCGAGGCAGAGCCGGCGCATGGCGTTCGGGTCGATCTTGGTGGCCAGGTAGGCGCGCGCCGCCTCGAAGAGGTGGTTCTCGTTGTACCCGGCGTCCAAGTGGCGGCGGATGACGATGGTGTGCCGCTCCTTGTCGCCGGCGCCGAGGCGGGCGCGCACGAACGCGGCACCCCAGCGCACCGCGGCGCGCAGCTCCTCGGGGAGGAGCTCCCTGGCCATGCTGCGCACCAGCATGGCGTACGCGGCCACGGACGCCGCCGTGGTCAGCGCCTTCTTGTACGTGTCCACCACCCTCCCGCCTCCTTCCAACGACGACGCCGCGGCCCCGGCCATGGTGGTCAGTGGCAAGTTATCCATGAGTGTGATGCGAACACGAGCGTGCTCCACGCCTCGTATATGTACTATAGTGCTCTAGGGTTCATTTCCAGTTACGATCGACGAAGTTCTACCACCGATGCGGCGCAGTTTCGTGGAAGGTCCCATTAAAGGCAATAGGAGTACTAATGTCGACCGATTGACTCCAGCTGAGTCGTCTCTGTTTAATACCCAATCGTCCTTCAACTCGTGTTGCCTTCATTTCATTTGGAAAATTTCCCCGCTTCCTTTACCTTCGCTGAAGAGGCTTCACGTGCGTGAAGGAATCTTGGAGTGGAATGAGGGCATGTACAATGACGGTATATGGTATGCCCCATGACTAAAAGTAATCTGATGCATTTATATTTATTTTTTCTCTTCAATGCAAGCTACAACTAGTGGGCCTCATTAATAAGAAATATAAAATAAAGACTGTACCACACATGCATTTCTACTTTTCACTTCAAGCTTTTCAGCTTTTGTCATCGCACTTTCCTTTCAAGCACCCGCCTCTTGAAGAGGATCTCGTTTTCCTATCCAAACCTACTTTATATCATATCCGATTCTACATGGCATGCGAGGCATCACCTTAAGACTATGCATTGTACATGCCGTGAAAGAGCTCCCAAAAGCTGCCGGCTCATGTCAGATGTTCCGTCATGTCCGACGCAGCACAATACATCTTTCGGCCTCGTATGATCGCATCAGAGGTTTCTTGCAATATTCTACCACTCCAGTGTGCCACCATACACAAGGACCAGTGATTTAATTAGGTCACCGACTGTAAAAAGTCGTCGAGTTAAGTAAAATGTCCACTGGTTCCGGTCACACCGATCGATTGAGCAAGAATCTCTTTTTTGAAGGGGATTAAGCACCGGAGAAGGCACTCCATTTTTATAACCCGGCCGCTCGCTGGAGGTGATTGGTAGTATTCGAAAAAAAAGGAAAAAAAAAGTACAACAATTTATACTCTCTCCAATTTACATTAAATTGTCGCTGCTTTGGTACACCTTGTTATATTCGAATTATCTTATTTTTGAAAGTCAATAGCTAGCCGGTGTTTTCACGGTGGGTAACCCGAGTGAACAAGTGTCCGTTTTGGATGACTCTCGTGAGAGAAGAGATCGTTCATCCAGAATTTGCTTCCAACGAATGCCACCACTAAGGGCAACTCCGACAGGGCGACCCAAACATGCGAGAATGTCTATTTTTAGACCGTTTGGATGACCAGGTGGCCACGCGTTCGGTCCTTGTTCGTCCTTTTCTGGTCCGTGCACCCAACAGCGCGACCCATTTGGTCTGGCATGTCCTTTTCTTAATTAATTTATCATTTTGGTCATTCTATATAATTTTAATGGGACTAAATGAAACATTACACGTGATTAAACAAATAAGTTACATAGTTTACAACCTAAAATAAATAAAAATCACATGGTTTACAATCTAATGAATTTGAAATTGTAGCGAATAAATTGAAAAAAAATGAGAAGGTACAATTGTGAGTCCACGTATGCTCATTCAAATCATTTTGAAATTGAATGTGAGTTACCCAATCACGAATTTCATAATAAAATTGGATAAACTATGCAAACATTGCCGCTCCACCCTCGGGCTCAACCAAATCATGCTGGTAATCCAACCCTTGGCCATAGATGATGTGATCATGTTCATCCTCTACAATCATGTTGTGCATGATCACACAAGCAACTTCATGTTCTGGCAGGGTGCCAAACAATAGCCCAACGAGATTGAAGCACACCAAACGCATGTTTCATATCCTTCATAGCACTCACCTGTTCTTTGCCAAACCTAGCCCTCTTCTCTCCTTGGGGCTCAAAGATTATCTTCACAAATGTAGATCATGGAGGATAGATACCATCAGCTAGGTAGTATCCCTTGTTGTATTGGTGGACAATGATCTCATAGTTGACCTCTTGGGGAATTACCTTCTGAAAGCCTCAAGAACGTTGGAGAGCGCTGAAGCACATTGATGTTATTGTGAGAATCTGACATGCCGAGAAAAGAGTGCCAAATCCAGAGATTTTGTGATGCCACAACTTCTTCAAGCATGACCCTGCAACCATCAACATGTCCCTTCTATTGCACCTTCCAAGAAAATGGACATTTGTTCCACTCTCGGTGCATACAATTTATGCTTTCAAGCATCCCCGAAAAGCCTCTGAAAGCATTGATCGATAACAACTGGGCTGTATCCGCAACATATGGTTCTCTCTAGTACTCTGAGCCAAACACCCAAACCACAACATTGTAGAACTTATACGTTGGCTCAAGGCATGTGGACTCACTCATGTGTACGTACTCATCAACAAGATCACCGGGAACTTCATATCCAAAGCATCCGAACGACTGCAGTACATTTCTGATAAGAGGAGAACCCAACCTTACCAATGGCATCATGCTTGCATTTGAAGTAATCGTCATAACTCACCAGTCCCTCTCAAATACGATTGCACAATGATCTCACCATCCGGAAGCGTCGTTAGAAAATCTTGGCAGGGAATAGTGGGTTTGTACAATGAAAATAATCGTTGAAGAGTAGGACATGACCCAATTCTCAGTTACGATTCAACGCAGGTGCATGGTGCACCGCCCAACATGCGGCCCTAGCACCAACGGAGACTTTACATCCTCGCTAAGGATAGAAGTGTACATTGGTCGTGCCAGCATATGAGTTCATAACACACATGCACTATCATATGCCGGTGAACAAAGGTGGGATATCACAACAATACAACTAAACAAGATAAAAAAGTTTAATACGAGTGAGCAATACGGAAAACATATGCCAATACGATAACATACTTGTACACCAATTAGAGGTCAACAAGACTCAACATTACATCATTCATGCAGCGGAAGAAATATGGGTCCGTGTACGGACAAGAACCAAGGTTGCCTGAAGAGGCTAGAACATAAGCGTCCCATAACCAACGGGTTCTAGGCTCCCGGCCAAGATCCTTATCTCAACTAGTCATCGAGGAAGAAAAACTCCACGTAGAACATTCTGCCTTTTCACCTTAGAGCAAAGCTTTATTGAATCTGTACCTTTCACCTAGGGTTGTTGTGGTATCTGTGAGTCTTTTGGACTCAGTAAGTCTCATTACCAAGGGTACCAAGACTAACAATACTCATAGGTTGGATGTGGATAATTGTTGAAGTTGCAGCAAGCAGCTAAGACATGTAAATCAACTAATCCTACAAATAGTAGAATGAGAAGAGAACAACCTACACAAAAGGGTTCACAAACTAGTTGATCAAGTGATCCTAAACACCTTCCTATGATTCATTCATCACCCAATTGTGTTCTCTTCTTACTTGCATACCCATAAGAAGAGACAATCATGATATATATACACACATTCAAGCAAGTCTTAGTTATTACTTCAATTTGTTTATGAATGGCATTATAAATTTTCAAGTCATCCATTACTGCCGACACGACTTTTTGAAAGATATAACCCTACAGGGGTGCTCCAAATTCCATTATAAATTTCACATGCATACTCCCATTCTTCCTAGTACATGGCCACTTGGAACCACCGTGTAAACACGATATGATTCTGAAGTTTGGAGATAACAAGTTCCTATAGCTAATGTCAAACTGTAACACACAAGATGTGGTTTCTAGTCCTTACAATATTTTGCAATCTTGCGGGTGCTAGAAGCACATTTGGTCAACCAACCATATATTAGACCATACACATGATACGTCTCCAACGTATCTATAATTTATGAAGTATTCATGCCATGTTTACAACAAGTCTATATGGTTTTGGTATGATGTGAATGGAACTAACCCGGACTAACGCTGCTTTCAGCAGAACTACCGTGGGGTTGTTTTTGTGCAGAAATAGAAGTTCTCGGAATGGGCTGAAACTTATTGATGATTTTTTTGAAACAAAAGAGACCCCTGAAGCTTTGTGGGAGGGCCAGAAGAGCCACAAGGGCCCCACAAGCCGCCATGGTGCGCCCAGGGGGTGGCCATTGCGTGGCGGCTTGTGTGCACCCTGTGGCCCATCTTCGCGTGAGACCGACGCAGAAAAACCTATAAATAGAGAAACCCCCAGAAATAACCCTAGAACTTTGACTCTGCCGCCGCAACCCTCTGTACCTTCGAAATAACATCTGGAGCCCTGTTCCAGCACCCTGTCAAAGGGGTAAATCATCACCGGAGGCCATCTTCATCATCCCGATGGTCTCCATGATGAGAAGGGAGTAGTTCACCCTCGGGGCTAAGGGTATGTACTAGTAGCTATGTGTTTGATCTCTCTCTCTCTCTCTCTCTCTCTCTCTCTCGTGTTCTTGATTTGGCACAATCTTAATGTACCACGAGCTTTGTTAATATAGTTGGATCATATGGTGTTTCTCCCTCTCTATCTTGTCGTGATGAATTGAGTTTTTACTTTTGAGGTTTCACTATTATCGGATTGAATACTTTTACGGATTTGAGAACACTTAATGTATGTCTTGCATGTAGACACCCGTGGTGACAATGCGGTGTTCTATTGATTCACTTGATGTATGTTTTGGCACTCAACTCGCGGATTCCCGAGGTGACATTTGGGTAATCTATGCATAGAAGTTGATGCATGTTTTCGTCCTACTTTCTTCGGTAGAAATCTTGGGGCACACTTTGAAGTTCTTTGTGTTGGATTGAACATTATGAATCTGAAGTTGTTTGATGCATATCGAATAATCAACTCATGGATACTTTTGGTGACATTGGAGTATCTAGGTGATTGGTTGATGTGTGTCATATGGTGTTATAGGAATAGCTCAATAGATTGATCGGAAACGATAACTTTGAGGTGGTTTCGTACCCTACAACAATTTCATCTTATGTTCTCCTCTAGATAAGACCCTTGGAGTGACTCTTCGTCGCATGTTGAGGGATTATAATATAATTAAATTATGTTAGCATTGTTGAGTGATTGCACTAGTGAAATTATGAACCCTGGGCCTTGTTTTCAAGCACTGCAATA